ATCATCGACATTGATTATGGTAGGTGGGACGCTTTTGCTTTTAACTCGCATATTCACAGTGCAACGTTGTGTGTTAATATTCCTAATGTTATTATGATTACTGATGGGACAGCACATCATGACGATTGTGAATATTGGACAGATCTTGATTTTTTTTTGAGATGTTTATTTCTAAGTATCTCTATGTAATCGCATTAGTGTTTGATTCTATAATATTAGTGCTAACGTTAGTAGACTCCGTCTCCATGTCAGCCAAAATGTGGAATCTATTTTCAGGATTGTAACTCGTTGATTGTTGCTTTCTTTATTGTGCCTTTGTCTAAAGTTAATTTTCCATTCTTCGTCTTGGCCTCAGCGATTGTATGTTGTTATTAACTTTTATTATGGTGTTACTAGTTTTTTTAATTATAGCATTATTTCGTGTATTGACCATTAGGTCAAGTACCACGTGTAAAAAAGTTTTTGATTAAATAAAAGTTTTTTTTTTAAATGAACTAAATTTTTAATTATTTTTTAAATGAATAAAAGGAATTAGATAATATTACTCTAATTTTTTATATTTTCGTAACACATTCAAATTAATTATTACTTATTTTATTTTTACTTTTACACTTGTTGCCACTCATGAGGTTCGAGCAATTATATATTATTCAAATTAGTTTCATTGCTATAACAAATTATATATGTATACAACTATAGCATAAATTTAGGAGGGAAAAAAAGCGTTGAATGAAGTTTTGACATAAAAGTTGAATTGGAACATTAAGCAAGTGAGTTAAGGAAAAAAAATCGATTTTTGTTGGCATGATATTTACCGTTGGTGTTCTGCGTTTATAAAAATTTAGAAAAGCTTATTTTTAAATTTTTCTTTTTTCTTTCAAATTTTAAAAAGAAAAATTTTTTTAATCTTACCATCTTTGTTTTTTTGAGGAATCTATTTACTATATTTTTTTTTGAGTTAGGAATGTGCTACGAACCTTTGATAAGATTCCGCACTGTGTAAAAATTTAAAAATTAAATCTAAATTTAAAATATCAAAGGAATTCAAGTATATAGTATAACGTAACGAAAAGATTGCGAAGAGAACTTAGCAATATAAGTAATGGTATAATCGGAAAATAATTAAAGCATCATCGATTTGTAATCATGTACGAAAATGCATCAATAACGTAAAATTTTAAATTTTGGTGTCCAAAAATGTCAAAAATACGCATCATATGCGCAACATATTACATCAGCTGTGGATCTTTTTTTTTTGTGATTTTGTACTTATGCAAAGTTTTTTGAATGGAAGCTGAGAAGTAAATGATTTATTATTTTAACTCAATAACTAATAAAGTTAATTATTTGTTTATGCACAGTATTAATATTTTTAAAGGCCCCATTATATTAAAATCTGCAAAAATTAATTGAAATTAAAAAATTTTTTTAATAGATTTTCAGTTGTTAAATATTATATACTTTTACATAAAATCTTTTTAAAATAAACGCCAAAAAACATATGATTTAGAAAGTGTTCAAAAATGTCAAAATAATATTGCATCAGCAAGATAAAAGCATCACATCGTTATAGCATCAGCAACTTTTTTTTTGAGTCGACGCTGCATTGATGCACGTTTTTGATTATTTTCCGATTATGCCCAACATAGCTAAGACTGTACCAGTAAAGTAACTTCTAAAAATCTTTTGCGGAACTTGGAATAGTTTTCAAAGTAATTTTAAATTTTTTATGCTTCCTTATGAGAGGATAAAAATAAACATTTATAACAAATTGCCCCATCCAGTTCATTTTCTTTAGCCAAAGGCTGACAGGCGAACTGTAACGGTTGAATTAACTTTGAAAACAAAATCGTGAACGTTTCTTTTTTGGCGATACATAGGTCGTGCCCAACGAATTAGAAATGCTAAAGGAAGGAGCATCTTGAAAAAACAATGAAGCCAGATTTTGTCTAGTTGTCTCTTTCTTTGCTCCATATTTATTTTATTTTTTTATCCGGCCTCTGCTACAAAATATGTGTGATTTGTAAGAAGGACAAGTTAAAATTTGTTTTTAAAGTAACCTTAAACACTACAAAATATTTCAAAATATTTTTTTATTTTAAATATCTAACAAAAAAATCAAATTTAATCAAATTTTGACTTTGATAATTTTTGACTTATAAATTTCTTTCATGAATTATAAAATTATAAATTTTGGTAAAATATTTGAAATGCAAACTTCTTTATTACTAATTTCAATCCACTTTCTTTTAATTTCATTACTTCTGGGAGAAAATTGGTCTTTTTTTTTCTTATATAAAAAAAGACCAAATTAAATCATTGCATGTACATACATATGTTATATTTTATCAAACACAAACTAATTTTGCTTAGAAAAAAATCCGGTCCTGATAAAATTATGTCGTTTGAAGTAATTATACCTGTACGAACATATGTTCGAAGGGTGTACTAAATTTGCATTACCGTTTGTAACACTAAGAAATAATGCTCTGAGATAAACACTCAAGTGTATGTTGTTGGTCAGCGTCCCAATGATAATTAAAAAACTAATCGTACTAAGTTCACCAAATTTTCACAAATGATTTATTCAAGTAAATGCTAGAACGCTATTTAAATTGGATACTGAATCTGCTATAGAACCTCAAAATTTATTTGACTATATCTTTGAAACTACAAAAGCTGTGGTATTGAAATTTTCCACAAGCGAATATATTAGTAGGACCAATTTGTTTGATAAAAGTCGTTGAAATTGCTTGGCTCCTTCTGGTAGCTGCCATACAATTTCAATAGTAGCTTGGCGATATCCTAGAAAATATTGAAAACACAGTAATGAAATTTTGCATAAATTATTATAGTAATACGGCAATTTAAAAACGTAGTCTGTCCCAGAGTGAGCTATGGCATATTTATTCGCACATAGAATAACAAATTCGTACGGGAAACCTGCTAACTTTTGGAAGAAATCAGACGTCAGGAACTGGACGTTTACTACGGGCCAAATATACATTTTTGCGTATATAAAGAGAAATTATCAACCGATTTCATCGAAATTTAATATTTAAATTCTTCGTACTAAAACAATGTACATATAGATTTTTTGGAAAGATCAGGGCTCGAAAACTGATTTGCGGGCCGATTTTAAATTTTTCACCATATCTACGGAACGAATTGATGGAATTTCTTGAATTTTGATATTTGAGTTCTGGTTGTTACCGAAACTAACTGGCGAGCATTTCAGGGAATTCGGGTAGCACAAAGCGAAACTCTACTAAGAAAGACTTTAGATTTTTTTTATATACGTAAATCTTTATAAAATAATATTCTTTTTTTAACGTTTAATATTAAATATGTTATGATTTTTTGGTTACGAACTGCACTAATTTTATTAAATAAAATAACAAAATCTTCTGTGCGTAATTTTCTAAGGAAAAAAAAAAAACAATATTTGGCATTTAATGTTAATTTCAGCTTGACAATGCTCGGAGCAAAGGAAGAAACTTACCTGAAATTTTTGACTTCTCTATGTTTTTTTCAAGATACGATTTTTTCGGGAGTGTAAGCGTGATAGAAACAAAGATGCTCCTCTTTTAGTGTTTCTGATTCTCTGGTCGTGACAATCACCATTATACGGTTAGTCGCGTCACTGACATAAAAAAAAGTCTAACAAATCTCACTTCAAATGCCTTTCTGATAAAACGACAATAGAATCCATAAACATTTTAAGTTGGTAGCATTAACTGCTGACGCAAATTCACAAAATAATATCGAAAATAGAAAGATGTGAAAAATATTTTGATCATGTACATGTATACAAACAAAGACATAGTTTTAAAGTGTTAATAATTCCTTGGAGTTTCCCACAATATTGTAACAAAATATATAAAAAAAAACTTTCTTTTTTCAGATTTCTGAAGTTTTTTCAAATTTCGAGAAACCGTTTCAAAAATTTTACTGAAGAAATTGAAAAGAACTTGCTACTACTTCGAATATTCCATAAAACAATATCGCGATGGTTTAGCAATATCGTAATTACTACTAGTACTACTACTTCACTCGCCGGTAATATGGGATAACGGCGAACGAATACACATGTTTAAAAATTCTAAAAAGCATGCTTTTAGATTGATTGCTCCTTGAATTTATAATAAGTGTGCATATCAGGGGTATTCGAATCCCCTCTAGCTTTCTTAAGAAAATAAAAATGTACTTGTTTCAATTTAAATCTACTGAGATTGAAAATTTGTTAAAAATAACAGTATGAGAGATAAAGGAAAATATTATATGGATAAACTTTTAGTTCTAATCGTAGCGCATCGAAATCGAACAAAAAGAAAAAAAAAATATTAAAATTTTCAAAACTTTAAAATTTACAAAAAAAAAAAATTAAAAAAAAAACAAAATTTCTGACTTCGACGAGCTGTATCTCGAAAACAGTGGCTCAAATCAAATTAACTATATGACATATAAAATAAAGAAAAATCAATCTCCTGTAAAACAAGCTCCTAATGACAACTCTATGTTATATGGTTCCGAAGTTATAAGCACATTTATTTATGTACAGAAAAAGTCCGATAATATTTTTTTGAACAAGTTGTAGCTCGAAAACAAATACATCTGCAACCCCCCCTCCCTAAAATTTTGAGGATTTATTTTTTTCTTTTAAGTTGAAATCCGGAATCAGTTATCTATTACATTACCTGTTTGTTTTTTGAATAATAATATGGTACGAACTATTCAACAAACTTTTCGTTACTTTACATTTATAAATTTTAATTAAACGGTGATAGATAAATGGATATAAACCGGATTTACAATTCAATTGTGGAAAATTTTTTTAATAGCTCTAATGAAATTCAACTCAAAAAGTTTTGGAATAAATATTAATAGATTATAATTAATAGATAAAATTAATAGATTATAGTTATGTCAATAGATTTAAAAATAAAACAAAATATTAAGATCATATGAAATTGAAAACATCATAAAAAAAATTTACTTACAGGTTTGGGCATCTTGAATCCGAGTTTGTATGTTAATTTTTTTATATGATAAGATTATAAAATGAACTGAAAATAGAAAAAAATAAACCTTTTAAAGCAAATCTTTATTAATTTTAAAATGAAGGTATTTTAATAAATTGAAATACGATATTTTGTATACGCATAAGCTCCATTGCATTTTAAATCACATGTAAAATAGCATCAACAATGTTTACTATTGCTTTAAATGTGGTAGTTTCAATACCCTTTAATGTAACAAAGCTATTACTGTTTAAATTCAATTTTTTTAATTTTACAAAAATTTACAATAAAGAAGAAAACTACTTATTATGATTTCGCAACTGATCGGTACCGATAGAAGACGAGAACCAAGTGAACCAGCAAAAAAAAAAAAACAAATAAAAAAGTCCAGAATTCATTCTACTCCTTGCAGTATTTTTATTTTATGGTACGATTTGTACTTTGAATTTATGAAATATATTTATTTATACAAATTAATATTTCCCATTCACCTTACAAATAATTATGTTTCTTTGTTAAATAAAAGAAAATGCTTATCAAAGCAATTAATTTCAAATTAATAACAAGTGTATTTAATTTAATAACAAAAATGAATTTAAATGACATTCTACTCGTAATTTCAACTAATCAAATTTAGGAAATAATATTAAAGTGTAATAATGCTACAAGTGCATGTGTTAACTTCTTCCTAACTTTGTTAAGTTTCTCACGTTATCGTTGGTTTCCTTGATGTTTTCGATGAATTCATTGAACTTGTTGTATTAAATTTGTACTTTGTTTGTAGTAATTTTGTTGATGAATTTGATTGTACAAAAAAGAAGTATAATCAAAGCGGAAAATGTAATGATTAATATTGTCAATGCTGAGTTCGTTTAGGTGAGGTAAAGAAAGTTTTTTATTTCGTGACTAAACTGTGTTATAGTGGGTTTGTTCGGAATCATCAAATAAAAGTTGTAAGATTTTGTCAAAATCGAAAAAAAATTAAATTTCAAATTAATTTTTGATACAATGTATGCTTTCTTAAACTCATTGTATTGCTTTACATTTCAAAGCTTAAAAATCTTGATGCTTTGTAATTTTTTATTCCATTGCTTATTTTAATAAGAAAATTTTTTGTTTCAATTGATTTTGATTAAAAAACATGTAAAAGACATAATATAAGCGTCGAAAAAATTATGTAGAAACAATTTGACAAATATTTAAGTGTTAACAACGCCTCAGACACAACATCAAATAAATTCTGAACATAGCACATCGTCAAATTATTTTGTTGATATTTTAGAAAACTATACAATGTGTCTGATGCGTCTTAAATACAATTATGAAGATACCCAGTAATTTTGGCGGATGTACCTCGGTGTAAATGCTTGGTTTGGTTGTTTCTATATATCGTATCATTTATTCGGATTATGTCTTTAACTTTAACCAAAAAGGTGCCGTACATTGTTTTTTGTCGTTGGTCAAATATTTTGGTAGGCGGTACATCATTAATATCTAATATTCAATTTGCAACAACGGGTTGCTTCAGTTGGGCACGACGCTTTATTACTATTTAGTAGAATTTAGTAGAAGAGGTATTTCGACAGAATAAGATCGTTTATTGGTTAATAAAAAATAAGATCGTTATTTTTTGTTTCCCATGATCAGGTGTTCCTGCTATAAATTTTAAAGCACTACCAACTAAATTGATGAATCTAATCATACGCTTGGGAATTTATAGGGTATGCTTTACATGTGATATTTCTTCTATTTGTTGCTTAAGATATTAACTTTTCAAATTTCTGTAATAATTGATAGTCTGTAAGATTCGTTGTGTGGGAAATATAGAAATATTCTTCATATATTACAACTTTTCCCTGCGATATGGCAATAAAGCATGCTGAGGAGTAGTCTATTATTCTAGCCGAAGGACGAGAACAAAGAGTAATCTAAAATAAAGAAAAATTTAACGGAATTTTCTACCATTTATTAATACTGTTGTGGTTAAATCTTTTTCTGCAGTATTTTGAACAAAAACTTTGGAGAATATATTACTTAAGCGTTTGTTGGTGTGCAATGAAACTTTGTCAGTTTTACACCCTTGAAGATAGAAAGCTGAAATTATATATGTAATACATCCCTATACTAGAAATTTATTTCCGTAGAAAATTTTTACGTATCTTCCCTCCTCTAAAAGTTTAATTCCCCTAAAAATGATATTTTTTAACCATTTATTGCAGTGAAAGCAGAAACTTTTTTCAAATATTGCAAACGCAGAAATATTGTGACTGCCTTCTTCTACCGCGCCATACTATATTTGAACTTTAAAAAAACCAAATGATCGTTAAAATTTACCGTTATCTAAAATCAGTTTTTGATCCTTGAAATAGTATCTTATATGAAAATAGTTTTACGTAGTAGGTGTACATAAATTCTCTTTAAAAGCAATATTTTCAGTTGTTGAAGGGAAAAGTACTACATTACAAACCATTGGCATGACTCAACTTTATTGTGCTAGAATTCGAATTTAATGTATTTATTGGTTTCTCATTTTTAATAGAATGAACCGAACTATCGTATTTCTATGTGACTAAATCAATAGTTTCAATAGTATTTTGTTGTTCTTTGGTACAGCAAACAATCAGAAGTTTTCCAACAAATGTTAGAAAGTGTTGATTGTGCGTAATAAAAATATCAACATGTAGGATATTTCCCGAAAGGTTTGGAATGAGTGCTCTCCCATTTTACGGTTTCGGGGTTCGTGTTGGAATTTATTTTTTATAGAATTTTTGCAGTTGATAGCTAGAGATTTTAACAATTTCCTTATATTTCCTCATATTTCTAATATATTCATCTGTTTCAAGTTTTACTGCATAGACCTGTGTGCTCTATTATGCTCTGTATTTATCATGTCTATCTGATTCATTTAATTTTAATTTTCCGTTTTCATTTATTAAATCTATTACGAAATTGTTGGTGTAAATAAATTTTAAACTAGGAAAATTAATAAAAATTCCGTTTCAATTTGGGATAAAGTTGTCAAGTGGTGAATTGCATTTGTGACATCGGCGTTTATGCAAAGTTATGGACATTTCAAGTAATATTTCAAAGTTTTTAAATTAATAGTGTGTTTAACGTTTTTTCGGAAAATAATTTTTGGGGTTCTAAATTGGTTTACTAAATACTCCTGAGGATTCGTCCGTTATAAGTTCGAATGGTTTTTAATAATCGCGATAGGGCAGAAGCACTGAGATTCTACTTCTGAGAAGTAGATTATTCTCCTAAAACACGCATAACTATATTACGTAACGTTTTTAAATTCTTTTAACATCTAAATGGGTTTTTTCGCCTGGTGAAAATATTATATCATTGATATAAATATGACAGGATTTCCCGATATAATTCCTCAAGACGTCATCTATGGCTCGCTGGAAAATTCAAGGAATGGAAAACTACAGAACTCATACTTGCCTTTATTTATATTAAATGCCGTCTCTTACCTATCCTTTTTAGATAAAAGAATGTGATGGAAACCGGATTTTAAATCTAATTATAAATAAAATATTTTATTATAATTCACTGTAATAGGGTTTTAAAATCGAAATGTTAAATTAATAACCAAAACAGAAATTATAAAAGATTTAAGATATTTTCATAAACATAATACTGCAAAACAATAATGTTTTTAGCACTTTTCCAAAAAATTTTTGGAAAAAAGTGCTTATTAGTTTCACTCTGTCCGTCCGTCTGTCCGTGTGTCTGTTTACAAAACTTCTACACCCTTGAAGATAGAAAGCTGAAATTTTGTACGTACATAGATTTTTACTAGAAACTTATTTTCGTAGAACAAAATTTTTATCTATCTACCCCCCTTTAGAAATTATACCCCCCCGAGACCCTAAAAATGCCATTCTTTAACTATTTAGTGCAATGAAGCCATAAGGATTTTTCAAATTTTGCAAACGCAGAAAGGCAGTGGCTTGCTTCCTCTAGCGGGGTATACTAAAGGTTAACTTTAGAAAAACAAAATGGCCGCTCAAATTTACCATTATCTAAAGTCCGTTTTTTCCAAATTTTTGATGTTGTTTATTTTCTAGACCCCAACCTGTAGAAGCTTGAAATTTTATGGGCTTTTAGACATTAACAAATAGTTCATTTCGTTGGAAGAAAATTTTTTTCCATCTCCTTCCCCTCCTCTTATGTTATTGCCTCTTGAAATTTGCAAAATTTGAATTTTTGACACCTTATATTTCCGAAACCGCAAGCTTTTTCAAATTTCTATAAACACAAAAAGCTAACGGTAAATTCCATGACATTAAAAAATATAATTATTTTTCTTAACTCACATAATTAAACCTTAAAATCGAGCATTATTTTAACCCCTCTTTATATTAATTTTTGCTTTATTTCAAAGACTGCATGTATGTATCATCCTAAATATATGCAATCCTAGAAAGAGTTTTGTATATGAATGAAAATAATTTTTAGAATGTGTGATAGGTATACATAGACTGTATTTAAAAGCAGAATTTTCACTTGCTGAAGGGAAAAGTGGTACAATACAAACCATTGGTTTGACCCAACTTTATTATATAACACATACGCAATATATTTTTAACAGATTTATAAAAACTTTTGCTGTTTTGAATTTGCAGTATTATGTTCATGAACAAAAAATGTCTTTAAAAAAAAAAAAACATATTTATTTTGGACCGAAGAGTGGAAAAATTCTATTTCAGGAAAAATAGAAATTAAGAAAAACAAAAAAAGGAAACTGAAACAAAAAGAAATTTTGTTATTTTAAGTACAACAATTAACAGACGATTTCCTAAAAAACCGCAAAAATTAGTAAGACAAAATTACAGCTCATTTAACTGCGCTAACCATGATAATTTAAATTATTACCGACCGTATTGTGTAAACAATAGGTAGGTTATGTGATGGCAATAAATTTTGCATATCGAGTTTTCGGTGGGAACGTACTTCTCCATAGTAGGGAAGTGTAAATAAACTATTTTTAGCAACCTGTCGGTCTGTTGGTCTGTCCGTCTGTCCGTCTGTCGGTC